AAAGAGTATGGATCCTAGCAGTCACGAAAGCTTTAAATCTAGAAGGTGAGATTACTAGGCATGAGGTTGCCAAATTTATTGAGAACAGTAAATTTTCCAAAAATAAATGTTAGTTTCAGTGAGGCAAAGGCCTTAAGAGATTTGAGAGCAAATAAAGATACCCAAATCCTTGCTGCTTATAAGGGCCGATAAACTGTTGTGATGCCCTGTGAGCATTACGATAATAAAATGAAAGATTTACTCGATGGAGTTACCTACCTTAAAATTAAACGAGACCCAACCAACACCTTGGAATGTGAAACAACGGCAATCATTGCCAAGTCATCAATTCCCAAGAAAGAACAATACCTGACCAAACCAAGGGCATCAAAACCACCAAGACTATGGTCTACCAAAGATTCACAAACCTGATGTCCCATTAAAACCCATAGTTAGTACAATAGGCTGCGCTACATACAAGTTAGCACAATACGTAATGAAAAAAAAACCCGCCATACATCGGTAGGACCACTTTGCTCATTAAAACCTCTGAACATCTTCTAAATATAATTAACGATATTAAGCTTAACCCTAATGGTGTTCTCGAAAGATTTGATGTGAATTCTATGTTCACGAGGGTTCCGGTCAATGAACCAATACAATTGCTCAATACTCTGATAACGAACACAGGTTTAGCCAAATATATCCCACGACTAGCTAAACACTGTCTAAAGAACACATTTCCTGTGGAAAGGTGACTTATATAAACAAAAGGAAGGAACAGCAAAGGGCTCTCCTTTGTCTCCTGTGAAAGCGAATATGTACATGAAAGATTTTGAAACATAAGTAATAGCTTCAAGCACATTAAAACCTTCTGCTTGGTTCAGATATGTGGATGACACATTGGTGGTTTGGCCACACGGTAAATACACACTTAACGAATTTCTAAATCATCTCAACTCGGAAAACTCGTCCATCTAGTTCACTATGTAAATGGCAGCTGACAGAACTCTCCTATTTATGGATATTCTGGTCGGGCACGGTCTAAATGTTAAAATAACAAACAGCGTTTACCGAAAGAAAACGCACACCGACACCTATCCGAATGAAAAGTCACACGACCACATGCAGAAATCCTCTCTAATCAAGACGCGCATACATCAGGCTAAGAAAGTGTCAGATGGTGATAGTCTGAGGAGTGAAATTGTACATATTGAAGAAGCACTTCAATTGAGTGGTTACAATGATGCACAAATCAACAGGGCAATGAATGCCAAAACCAAATCAAATAACACGAGCGTTGAAACTGACCTAGTATATACAAAAAACTATTAAATTACCGTAACATTGCGGGAGTAACTGATAAACTAGCCAGATGTTTGGTAAAATAAAACATCCGAGTCAGATTTGGTACCTACGTAAAATACAGAAATTAATATCTGGTACAAAGATCTATTACCGAAGCTATCAACAGAAGGTGTGTACTGGATGAATTACACTTGTGGCAAATGCAATGAGGGGTCGACAGTACGAATGATCAGCACAAGACTAAATAACACCAAACGAATATTAAAAACTCACAAATATAACTATCGGCAGTGGCAGAACACGCGTGCCAACAAGGACAATAAATTGATTTTGATAATGTTGAAGTTCTGTGCAAAAATAGTTACTACTGACAAAGACTATTTAGATCTTCTTTGGGTCCTTCGGTAAAGCAACGTAGATCGAAAAAAAACAGATAAATATCACGACGTTTCACTTGCAACACCAGCAATCTTCATCAGGTGAAAAAATAGCAAGAGATGCTGAGGCAGGATGTTATAAAGGTTTGAGATGGGTGTAGCCCAAGGGTCACAAGTGAAGTGGTCGGGGCTAGTGATGAAATTTGCACGTAAATGTCAGATCGCAGATCTGAGCTACCTCCACGATTACGAAGCTATGGAGGTGGCCATTGCGTTGTGAGAGATAGCATGTCAATGTAAGATTGCAGAGCCACCGCCACATCAAGATAAACGAGCAACTGTGGCTGTGTTAATGTAAAGACATTTAACCTGTTAATGTAACACCAGAGAGTCGAAAATAACTACTAAACATCACAGCCAGTTATGACTTAACGTGGTTAATAACGTCCTTCCAATGATTGCTCAGTCGTGATATTTTAATTATTTTTATTCACTTTATTTGTATTATTTAATTGTCATATTTTTTTCTATCTACGTGACTTTACCGAAAGACCCATAGAATATTAATTCCTGCAGTCACGAAAGTTAAGTAAAAATTTTACATTGAAACTGACAAGCAAATCACCTGGAGATAGTGAGATGTCCTTAAGTAACGATACCAAGTGAGCTGAGTTAAGTACAGCTGAGGTGGTCTTACCAGTGAATGGTTGTAAGGTCTCGGACATAAATCGGGCCACTTTGTAGGTGGGTGAGTCAATGGTGGAGACGATAGGCCGGAGTGGTGTATCTTATTTTTGAATTTTTAGTAAACCATACAATCTGGGTGGTCTAGCAGCAGATGGTTTTAAGGAAAGCCACTTGGTTGGTTCGATTGAAGATGTCGAATCAGTGATGATATTGTTGGTTTTCTTGACCAGGCGGTTGGTGGGATCTCTTGATTTTGGTATAGCCAAGTAGGTCCTGAATTTTGTTGTTGTATGTGGTTTTGTCCATTATGACAGTAGCATTGCCCTTGTTGGCTGAGAGGATGACTGTCATCTCTCTTTTTTAGTTGAAACAGCTCAAAGCGCTCATCCTTACTGATGTTGCTAATAGGTGTCTTAGCGTTTTTGAGGATTGAGCGATTTCCGATCTTGCCACGTCTGCAGGAATGTGTCCCAAACCATTAAGGGCTACGTCGACCTTGGCAATGATATCATCAACTGGGATGTTTAGACGACTGCGAAATTCAACTCTTGAGCTTGAACCGATTTTTCGGCTGTCAGAAATTGGGCTGTCACTCTGATCGATAACAATCTTGTCACCGTCTAACTTTTAAACATGTAGATCTGGCTTCTTCTTGGACAGGAGGTTGAACTTTGCAATCAGATTATCTTTGCATTTAGCTGACATTGAGGCGGCTGACGAAGCAGTCAAGTTATCTACATGTTCCCAATCAGATGTTAAAAAACATTACGTGCAGTTTAGACAGGTTTCCATTGTACTATAATCTGTAGTGTTTTTGGGCTGGTGCCAACCTCCTTTCACATCTCTGCTTGTACCCGAATCGTTTTGTTAATAAAATATTTTTGGAAAATGTCTTGCAAGAGTCGGTGGTTCTTCATTTTTGGCTGACTGTGCCGAGTAACTGCATGCTGAGAGGTCGGGTGGGCTCCACTGCTTCGAGTGGTTTTGGAGAGAAGTGCTGATTGACCCCCATCCAAACCTGCAACAACTACGACGAGAAGGGTAGCTGAGATTGTTTTTCTCTGATGTGGACTATTGTCTTTAAGGTGCAACTCTCCGATATTTTGTCAGGGAACTGGATCACAATTCCAATGCCAGTTTCTTTACTCAACGTAAATTCGCATCAACTCTCGCCTCTCACTACATGCATCTCTCACGTTAACGACTCCGATCACCACAGTGCCAATCACCCTGCAGTGTCACCCAGTTTCACGCTCTCCCAGGAGGGTGCTGCGGCAGGATGTTTGGCAAGTTTCGTACGGCTTGCGTGGTTCCCACTCATCTATGAATACCCCAAACGCCTGGCATTACATCGCTTCACAAATATACACGGTTCCTCTCCCATCTATATCGCTGTACATTCTCTACAATCACTTCAACTGCAATTAACTAATATCCTCACTTGCTTTACAGAATGCAATAGCCACCTAATTTTTGCATCTATGTAACTTAATTTAAAAATCTTTAACGTAAAATTCATTATACACGAGTCAACTTCGTCAACACAGCTCATAAAATATTTATCGTGCAAATATTTTGGATTTCGTAAGTTGCTTTTGGGTCAGATTGCTAGTTGATTAAATTCTGCACTGTCATTTTGGTGACCCAAGTCACTTCCACATTAGACCATCCTGGCCTGACTTTGCATCTCACCTGGTCAAAACAAAACAAGCTTTGCTTTTTGAATGTTTTTGTGCAGTGTTGATTGACCATACTTAACTACTGGTAAGTCAGTGGTGGTGAAAGGGATGATAAACTAAAAAAAGCAAAACCGTTTCAGTTCCTGCAGTAGGAATACAGCTCTTGCATTCTCTCGCCACTCAGACACCACACTGGGACGCTGTGTAGCTGAACTTTGAGCAGGGGTGCTGGCAGAACTTTGGGGAACATCACCGCCTCTCCATGTTCCACCTTCAGGAACATTTTTGAAGCCTTCGAGATCAGACTGGGAACCCCATGCTAATTCACGCACCAGATGTGCATTGACCAACCCACATGTTAGACCTCATCACCAACATTAGTGCAATGAGAAGCCCGTGTACATTAGACACTTGGCACAATTTTCCTGTAGGACTCATTTACACTGCCACAAGGTTTTGTTACCAAGTTTCGTTTTCCAAAAGTCACTCCACGTTGAGCTCACCGCTTCTAAACTATTGTTTATTTTACCAGGTATAAACCAGAGCTCTGCAGATATTTTTCAGAAGGGACCTGGCCACAAATGATAGTTCCGTGGCATGCAGAAATTTACATCGGCCAAATGCTTGAATTTTCACATTAATTCGCATCAGACGTTGGACTAGGTCCCCAGCAAATTAGATGGTCGCCACTTTTTGCCCACAACTTTGCTGTAATGACCTTAATTCTAGACCACAAAAGCAAACGCGAGTCAAATAGACAACCAGGCAGTACTGCAAGGCCTCCTATTGGTGCAGAGGCCTCCATAGGTGATTGATCAGGAGGCAAAGTTTGAAGGGATTCAAATTGAAAAGACAGGAAGCAAAGGTTGAGCTTTGAGGTAAAAGTTGCACACCGTTGAAACGATCGCCGTGAGAGAAGGGGCTCCAAAGAGCTAAGACGAGCAAAAAAAAAACACGGCGGAGGAAGAGGCACTTCAAGAGTCAGGCAAGTGGGGCCTGTGTAATAAAGACAAGGCTCCAAGTTTGTTCACATCTTTACACTTCCACGAATACCAACTTTGAGAAACGTGGATTTAGGTGCAATTCCCCCCCTCCCACCCCCCAAATATCAATGGAGTCATTTGCATATTCTCGGTGTAGTCCCTTAGCATCTCAGAAGTTTAAGCTCAAATTTCCATCGTCAAATGCCTTCTCATAGTTCGCAAGGACTTGGGACAAGCTTAGTTTGTAGTTATGCGTCACTCCAGGAACTCAATTTCTAGTCAACGGCCACGCTGGTGGAAATATTCAATCCCACTGATGAAGTGGGAGGGTGGCCGCTGGAACATAACGATTTTCTTTCCAAGATCTGCCGATACACGAGGGTGAAGGGAGCGTCACCCCTGTTTCTACAGAAAACATTTAGGGATGTTACCCATTCTTTAGGAGGCCAATAACTGGGTGTCAAGTGCCACCATCAGATCTGTTTTCAAACAGTACAAAGCCCGATCCTCCTGACATCCGAGGTCAGCGGGGCGCTCGTGGCTCCTTTTGGGCAAAGCCAACCTAAGGAGGGGCTCCTCCATCAAGACTAAAGCTATTGCACGAAACCAAGTGTGCATCACGAGAAGGGAACAGCATCAACCACTGCTTGCCGGTTGAACTAGAAAAAACACGATTCACTAAGCCCAGGACCAGTTTGCCAGTAACTTTATTAGTCATCTCATTTTATATATATTTTAAAGAGATTTATTTTGGCTTATCAGCAGAAATGGGCGGGCCAAAGGGCCCCCTGGTGAGGAACACGCGCTCCTGGAACGGGGCATGGCCAGCCACGAGGATCCTCGTCCACGTGACCATGAACGCTTGGAAGTCCACGCTGGCGCCTTGGTTCTTGTGAAGATCCGCCATGATCTTGCGCACTTCATCCGGGTCACACGCACCCTGCATTCGTGATATAGGAACACTTCCTGCTAAAAGCCAATGCACCAATCACTCTGCTCAGTGTTGCATCAACAAAAATAGGAATCAACATGCTATGGTGGCCATTATGAGCCCAATCTCAATCAACCTCTAACAGTGACGATACGCGCTCAGTCGTTCTTGCAAAACCCAGTGCCACGGCACATGGCATTACCTCGAGCCACAACGGCTCCCAGTGGACAAGGATTCACGCCATGGCACCACATTGCTCAATGTTTGCGGTGCTGCTGCCGCGCAGAGCCCACGGGAAACCCACCGTCAGGTAGGGCCGCATGTGCTTCACGAGCAGATTCTGCAGCGCGTGCTTCCTCATGCAGACGCTCCCCACGCCTCCTTCACAGTTGGCGCAGAACTCGCGCACGAAGATGTCCATCACAGCGCTCAGATCCTCAACGGCAGCGGCAGACGAAGGCATCACGAAATTCCTTCACACAACACGTGTACATTACATAAAGATAAAGCTCGCCCATATAGCCTTTTTGGGTGCCCAGACTTAAGGTTATGTCATGTTAAGATAAATGTTTGTAAGGGTTATTTTCACTAAATTTTGGTATTTAAAACAAATGTAATGGATTTTCTAGGAACGGAACCCCAATGTCTAACATTTTGCCAATGGGAAATTAAGAATTCGACTTACAACAGCTTGACCTTTTACGTGGACCGGGAACAAATTAGGTCGTAATTGGGGGGGGGGGGGGGGGGGCGGTCGCATCTAATACATAATTTACATCTGTAAGGCGCCCTAGACCCGTATCAAGGCACCTTTTAAGAAATAAAGGCCTAGTTAAAGAGAATAAGCGGAATTCAGAAATAATATCTGAAAAGACGAGACTTAAAAGTATCCAACATAGGATAAACGAATTTACGAAGGTAGGGCATTCCAGCCATGGCACAGCAAATGCCCTCTCACCCCAGGCAGGCAGCTGGAATCGAAGTACTCACAGGAGGGTGGGGGATTGCAGATATTAACAACCTTGGCAAGGTGTGTAGGGATGAATGAACCTCATGAATGTGGTCCTAGCCATTGCAAGGCCTGAAAAACTAGTATACGGCTCTTGAAAAGAGGCCGATTCAGGACAGCAAAGCAGTGTAATGATGAGAACCAGAGAAATATGGTCACAATGGGGTTAGGGTGAGCAGACCAACTGCCACATTATGAACAATGTAATCTGCCAAGAACCTTATTTGAAAGATAAACCAGCAAGGCATAGCAATGGACGAGCCTCACAATCAGCAAGTATAATTATGTCGTACAGTCTTGCACTAATGGGAGGTGAAAGGTTCTCACAACCTTAACATGAGCATTGAATGGAAAGGGACGGATCAAATATCACCAAGATGACAAATTATGCTTCGGGCAGATGTTCTGGTCATCAACAACTAGGCTTAAGAACGTCCCAGTTTAGTTGTTGGGGAGAGCCGACCAAGATAATTAAAACTTATTTTAATTTAGCTCTGAAAACATTTTTCCTGCAACCATGATTTTATAGTTGAAAAAAAAAGATTTCCCATGTAGAATATGGTGTTAGCTGGAGGCAAACATGGGCGTCATCTCTGTAGCAATGGTAGCGCAGCCCTAAGACACATTGCACTAAAGTGTCATGTTAAATGCTTAACAGAGCGGGACCAAGCACCGATCCTTGGAAGTACCCCAGACTGCACCAAAACTGACAGGACTTAAAGCCACCCAGTGAAATACGGATTGGGGTTTTTTAGACAAGAGCAGAACCACCCTATTAAGGCCACCAAGCCCAGATGGCTTTTAATCCTAAGCAGTGATGTTTATTCACCACGTCCTCATTTTCGAAGTCGATGTAGGGAAGGCCCAGGACTGGTTACGATTATCCTCAGAAGGCGTTGACCGATCGGGAATCCAACTCTGGTCGCCGAGATCAAATCGCAGCACGCAAACCGCTACAATACCCTCCAGATCTCAAACACATAGGCGTGTAAAAGCCACGCGGCCGAACTGCACTCACCCTACACAACACTAGTATTGCGGTCAGAGGAAGACAAACCAGGAGACAATTTAAAGTAGATGCCTCAATGTCGCCCCAATGCTCGAGAACAAGCAGCGCAGAGAAGATTCACAGCGAGGAAACCACGGACGTCGCCACCGCACTCGAGACGCCGAGAGGAGACGAAACTCACCGGGATGTACTTCGGAAAAAAGATCGACGCGCAGCAACCACTGAATCCCCCTCCCGCAGGGTTTAAATCCTCACCTATGTTGGTGACATCACCAATTACCGCCTTTACGTGCTGATGACGTCACGCATAATTGTTTGCACCTGTACTCTTGACAATCATTATATCGACACGTTTTATTGACGTCACATGACCCATCGAGTCTCCGCGTGTGAATCGGACCAATTCCGTGCGTCAGCTCATTCAGACGAATTCCCTGCCCGTGCGGGGTAATGGAAGCAGTGACGATGATAATTGATGACGATGACGGGAAGGTGGCTGAGTTTGTCTGTCTCTGTGATATTCACTATTGTCGTAAACGCGTCACTCGCTGTTCTGTTGCCCGGAAACTTGACCACAAATCCAATGCGATTTTTGTTTTTCAGCGTCGAATCGCCTGAACTCTCACCTCGCCACGTGATATCTGTCCTGGTCACAAAAGCAACTTTTGTGTGGAATAATAGCCATTTTCTCAACTTTTGAGACATAAGCAATTAGGAAATGACACTACCCAGAAACATTTTTTTTTGTTACAGTGTTACCTTCGAATGCCTGAAACGCCTAAAATTCCATCGCTTTGCAAATGTCCTTGGTTCCCCTCCCATCTACATCGCAACTTGATGCTGAGTTGTCGATTCTCAACGGTAACTTCACATGCAATTGCACTTGGCTCGAATATCTTCACCTGTTTTCAGATTAATGTAATAGCCATCTTTTATATGTTTAATGTGATCAGTCTAAAAATTATCTACCCGAGCCGACTTCTGCTACATGGAATTTTTAATAAAACAAAATTATAATTGTGAAATAGTTTAGATGTTTCGTGATGCAGTTGTTCTTGCTCTGATTGCCCTTTGCTTAATAGCTGTTCCTTTAGTGGCTGAATCTTTCGTTACCTAAATTATGTTTTCTAATCAGGCCCTCCATGGTCTCTTGAGTTGTCACCTGGTTACACAAATTACACTCGACTCGAATTGCTATTTCAACGAATCTCTGGATGTGCCGTGTTGATTGACCATCCTTCATCAATGTGGTAAGTCGGTGGTGAATGGCATGTGCGAGGGATGGAGGCAGGACATTTTCAATTGTTGCTTCATACCCCTTCAATACCAGCACACTTTCTAGCACCTCTCATGGACACCACACGGGGTTTATCGTTGCCTGCAGCTGCACGTTGAGTGAAAACGGAGTGGCACCGAGTAGTGGTGTAACCGGCGCTGCAGGGAACATCACAACCCGAGTGAGGCCTCTCTACACTCCACCTTCAGCAGCAAAACTTCTGAAGGCGTCCCTGAGGTCAAACACCGGGGAACCCCACGGTAATTCACGTGCCAGATCCACATCACTACTCCACGTTTATCCCACTGCCTCTATTTAAACCATAAAACTGTTTATTTTAACAGGTAAGGCCCACTGAGCTATAGTGTTCTTTTTCAGAAGCGATCTGGCCACAAATGGTAGCTCAATGAAGTGACTTATCAAGCAAAAATATCGCCACCAAATACTTAAGCGCATGTATCAACTTGTGCAGAAGAGAAACGAAAACCCGGAAAAAAATCGACGCAACCATGGGGAAGACAGAAACGCAAACTCCCCATATACAGCAGGCGTCAGGGTTACACCTTAAACCTCGTTTGGGACTTCAAAACAGTCTGCAATATTTCCCAGCAGGTTGCTCGCGACCTTTGTTCGGCTCATTTAAGAGCCCAACTTTTCGGCTTGTTGATCATCTCTTGCAGTTTCACATCAATTTATATCCCACGTTGGAGTTTCATCAGAAAATCAGAGGCAATACCCTCTCCATTTGCCCGTGCCTTTGTTTCCACCAATAACATCGTTGGTAAACAAATGCTAATGCCCAGTGAATAACGTTTGTTAAAGTGAGATACCCCCTCGAATAGCAATTCTTCATCTGCACATCCTCGGCATCACCCCGTTCCCACCGAAGTTGAAGCTCCTCCATTTAGACCAGGGGTCTCAAACTCAACTTACCTGGGGGCCGCTGGAGGTAGAGTCTGGGTGAGGCTGGGCCGCATCAAGTATTCAAAAAAAAAGTACAACTGATCCAATCTTCTCAATCTTTATTAATAACAGTTCAGAACATGAACGGTTCTTCAGAACATAGGCTTCTCTTACCCACTCCTTGCTGCCAGAGACCTGGCAGCACTTCCTCTTTTTACACAGCTGATCCACATTTGGCTTGAGGGAGGAAGCAATTTAGACCCTCAGTATGGCTTGAAGATGCTCATCAGTAAGTTTAGACCTGTACTTTGACTTATTAAAGTTCATGGTGCAGAAGAGCTTTTCACACAGATATGTGCTCCCAAAAAGGCACATGGTCCGCTTGAACATCCTGGAAAGCTCAGGGAAGGTGGGGGGCAATTCTCTCAAAAATTGTCCAAGCTAGTCTGCTTTTGCACTCACCTCCCTGAACTTGGCTTTGAGTTCAGAATTGCACTGCAGGTCAATTAGCTCCATTTGAAGCACAGGAGGGGCATCTTGCACATCGAAGGAGAAGGGGTCAGCAAAAATTTGAAAAGTGGCTCTGTGTGTCTTGAAGTCTGCAAACCTGTGAGCAAATTCCTCCTGTAGCTTTACAATGGCATCAGCATACTTCTCAACACTGAATGGTGTGCCCGCGTCCATGAGTGCCTTGAATGCTGTGAAATGGCAGAGGTTTGTCTGAGAGAGCTGGGCTTTCCATGACACAAGTTTTGTGGAGAATGCTCTGACTGTGCCATAGGCAGCACTGACAAGCTGCCCCTGGTCTTGTAACTTCTTGTTCAGTACATTCAGCTCCTGTGTGATGTCAACAAGAAAAGCTAAGTCCATGAGCCATTTGGGATCACTTAGCACAGGAACAGCCATCCCATCCTTCTCCATGAAGGCTTTCACTTCTGCTCTTAACTCAAAAAACCTATTCAAGACGTTTCCCCTGCTGAGCCAACGTACCTCGGTAGAGCACATCCTCATATGCTGACTATTTCTTCTAAAAAGGCGCGGAACTGCCGGTGCTTTAAGCCCCTGGATCTTATATGGTTGATGCATTTTACAACGACAGACATCACATTGTCAAACTTCAGGCATTTGCTGCAAAGGGCCTGCTGATGGATGATGCAGTGCAGAGCAATGGCCTCCTCCACACCCTCCTCTTCCAGTTTTCTTTGAACAAGTGCCACCAGCCCATTTCTCCTCCCTGTCATTGATGGCGCTCCGTCGGTTGTTATTCCAGCAAACCTCTTCCATGGTAAACCGACATCCACAATGGCATCACACAGCTGGCGGAATATCTCCTGAGCGGTGGTCTGGCCATGCATTCGATTCACTGTGAGCAACTCTTCCGTCACTTCAAAATTGTCAACACCACGGACATACATTGCGAGCTGCGCAGTGTCAGTGATGTCTGTGCTCTCATCAAGAGCGACCGAGTATGCACGGAAATGTTTGGCTTTCTCACGCAGTTGATCGTATATGTTACCTGACAGGTCAGAAATGCGCTCTGCCACTGTGTTGGCTGAAAGGCTGATGTTGCTAAACTGACCCTTCTTTTCCGGACAGACTATACTTGCAGCATGTAACATGCACTTTTTGATGAACTCGCTGTCTTTGAATGGCTTTGCCGCCTAAGCAATCATCTCATTCACCACGTAGCTAGCTTCGACTTCTGCATCACTCTTTGCTTGCATTCTTGAAAAAATCTTGTTGCCTCAGTAGACACGTTTTAAGATTGGCGACCCGGTCCTCTCTCTCATCTCCCTGGTATTTTGCATACTCCTCAGTACGTCTAGTTAAGTAATGCCGTCTGATGTTGTATTCCTTGTGCACCGCAACTTTCTCTGTGCATATAAGAAACGTCGGAGTGCCCCTGTACTCAACAAAAAAATATTCCGTCTCCCACTTTTCCTGAAATTGTTTGTGCTCGTCGCCAACCTTTCTCTTCAAGGCAGGTTTTGAGAAAGACATGACTGGGGCTGGGTGACAAAAAAAACACATTTAATAATAGAAAACAGTTAATGAAAAAAACTACGTAATTTCCGGACTATTAGCCACTATTTTTTTACACGCTTTGAACACCGCGGCTTAAACAATGCGGCTAATTTATGTTTTTTTACACAAACTTCATGCCGCCAAAACATTTACCGTCAACAAACACCAGAAGCTGTCTCGAGCCTGAGTTATGGTAAAAAAAAAAAATTGATGTCAAGTAGGGGGCCACAAAATATCGTTCCGCGGTCCGCAATTGGCCCGCAAGTTTGAAACCCCCGATTTAGACATTCAATGGCCTTCTCGTAGTATATAGCTTTGGACAAGATTAGTTTATAGTTATGCATCGCTCGAGAAACCTTGTATAGTGTGAACGGGCACGCTGGTAGCACACTTTCCAAATCCGAAAGCTCAGGCGTGAGCTTGGCCGATTTAAAAATCAGATTCTTTCCGTGATATGCCTATACATCGTTAATGAAAAAAAGGGGGGCACTAATCATTGGGTGTCGTGTCACCTATGACGGAGCTGTTCTTAAACAATATTAAGCCCGTACATCGCAACACCAATGAGGTCACACGCATGAATCACGAAGACCAGGACCAGTTTGCCAGCGATTTTATTATTCACCTCGTTTCATTTTAAGAGATTTAAGGTTTATCTACAGAAATTGGCGGGCCACATGGCCCCTTGGTGAGGAACACGCGCTCCTGGAACGGGGCATGGCCGGCCACGAGGATCCTCGTCCGCGTGACCATGAACGCTTGGAAGTCCACGCTGGCGCCTTGGTTCTCGTGAAGATCCCCCATGATCTTGCGCACTTCATCCGGGTCACACGCACCCTACAGGCGTGACAACGGGAACAATTTCTACAAAAGGCAGTGTACCAATCACTCTGCTCAGTGCTGCATCGAGAGTAAACATGTTATGGTGGCCATAAGACCAGTCGTAATCAACCCTTTAGCAATGGCTACTCCCGCTCAGTCGTTCCTGCAAAACCCAGCGCCACGGATCCTGGCGCCACCTCGAGGTGTCGCAGCTCCAGGCCACGAGGATGCCACAATGTGCATTCTTAGAGCCGAGTGGGGAGGCTGCGCGAGGAGGTGCGGTCACAGCGACACGCACGGCTCGAGAAATGCTTGCGGTGCTGTCGCCGTGGAGGGTACAGGAAACCCACCGCCAGGTAGGTCCTCATGTGCTTCACGAGCAGATTCTGCAGCACGTGCTTCGTCATGGAGACGCTCCCCACGCCTCCTTCACAGTTGGCGCAGAACTCGTGCACGAAGATGTCCATCACAGTGCTCAGATCCTCCATGGCGGCAGCAGATGAAGGCATCTCGAGATTATCACTGAACATAGTGTACATTAATTGTACTCCAGATAAAGCTCGATTACCGATATAACCTTGCGACTGTTAGCAACCAGTACAGCACACGAGGGGGTAGATCGCCAGCACCACGCCCCGCGACTGTTGCTTCCCACGTGGAGAGGTGTACACACCAAGTGCTCATTTGCGGCCACATCGACCTAGAGAAGGTCCAGGACTCGTTAAGAAAAAGCCTCATCTGGTGTGGGCCCCGATTGGGAATCAAACTCGGGTCGCAGAGTTCAAAATCGCAGCATGCAAACCGCTCAGGATCCACACCACAAGCGTGTACAATCCACACGGGTTGGCGCAGTGACCATACCCAAAAACACGTATTGCGTTCATGAGAGAGGACTCGAGAACCGCGAGATGACCTGGCTTAACAAACCAGTAGCCAGCCATGAGAGCAGATGCCTCAACATCGCCCCAAAGCTCAAGTACAAGCAGCGCAGAGTCGATTCACAGCGAGGAATCGACGGATGTCGTCTCCACGAGGCCCCTCCGCACTCGCCAAGAGGAACGCTAACTCACCGCGATGCAAACAAACAACAGAGATAAGGAATAACCACGGTGGTCTCTTTGCGCGGGGTTTAAATTCTCACCTGTGCTGGTGACGTCGCCAAATCACCGTTTTCACCTGTGATGGTGACGTCAGTCATCATTGTATCAACCTCTTTTATTGATGTCACATGACTCATCGAGTCTTCGCGTGCGATTCTGACCAATCCCGTGCGTCCGCTCATTCAGACGAATCTTTGTGTGTACGGGGAAATGGTGATGACAGGAGCAGTGTTTCAGTTTTAGTTTTTCAGTTTCATTTATTTGGTATAGCCCTGTGAGCCATTCAACAAACACAAAACACATGAACAAGAAAACATCTTAAAGTGACTATGCTTGCTTAACACTGAGTTAACCAAGGGAAGGCAAAGGACCGGTTCTACTAACACATGCCACTGATGCTAGCCATGGCAGGGAACTCAGGTCGCTGAGTTCGTAGCGCAGTGAACTGACCACTGTGTCACCACGACCTATCGCACACCCACACACCTATCTTGGCCAGAAAGGCACCCAAAATGGCCAACACTTGATTTAGCAGAAGTTGTCTACCTGCTGCAAATGTTTATGAATCAAGTGAAGCCAATATGTGTCTTGAGGAGGACAAGTTCAGATGCCACATTTCACTGACGCTGTTAAACGGCCAGAAATCAAATGCACGTCACTGCAATCGTAGTAGTGACCGAACCTATTGCACCAACGCTCAAACCACATTTGTTCACGAGCGCATGCTCAGTTTGCAGACCAGATTCAGAGTTATCGAGACAGTATTACGGTCAGAGACAGGCCTCCAGTCGGAGTCAGCATTAGTCAGGATTTAGTGCTAGTTTCATTGCTCAGGATTGCATTCATTGAGGTGTTTGGGATAGGGTTACGAGTCATCGTTTGCACACTGCGAGGTCACAGCATCACCACGTCATCAGTGACGATGATGATTGATGGATGATGATTCTTGTGACCCTTGCGAGCCCCCCTCCCCCCTCATTCTGCCCCTCCCTCGGTTTGGCGTTGTATGTTGGAGGAGCTGTTTCGTGGGCAGAACGGGAAGATGCACAGGAGGGGAGGAGCCCGGATGGAGAGTGACAGGGGCGAGTAGGAGCCTGGAGGAGAGGCGGGAAGGAAATATCGGGCGCATCGAGGAGGATGGGGTTGTGGTCCGTTAAAAGCCGACTGCGATAGAATCACTGATCTTGCTGATATAGCCAATCAAATGAAGGGGGTGTGTCACATCATTACTCCATGCATGGATAAAATGGCAATTTATTGGTACAGCGATTAACCCGGTATTTTTGACATTTGTTTATTATATTTTTACGTCCGATCTTTCATATTCATGATGAACATTGGATTATGATTTCCGATGTATCTTAAACTTGATTCAATGAGTGCATACTAAACAGTGATGTCATTATGTCCGATTGTATATTAATATTATGTGAGTATACAAAGCTATTTGCAGGGTAAGGGATTTACTCCCTCGATCTCCAGAATTTATAAATAGTTGTTTAAATGCATTTTTAACACAGGCTTCTTGTCAATCTACTCCCAGATGAAGGCCGCACCTAGTCAACCCCCCCTCCTCTAATTCGTCATCACTATCATCACCCAGGGTCTCTCTACGGCTGGATGAATTCCTCATTCCCAAGCATACCCCCCCACCCCCTCTAATTCAACATCATCAAGTCTATCCACAACTGGATGAAGGCCTCCCCAAGCCTTCACTGATATACACAGGCCCTCAAAAACATTCATGATCATTGCTTAAAGTCACACAAGCCCTTTTGGATCAATGCGCTTAACCTTAATGCGAATTCAACCCCGATGGATTCTGGAGAGCTCAATGGAGTTCAAACTCACGAACACCTCGTTGTGAAGGACCAAACGCAGAAGATTCCTGGGTTTGATCTTCCACGAAGCTCACGATCCACCCTAAATCGCATCCACAGCACAAACCATGGTAGATGTGGACACAAAATATGAAAAATTAGAAACTCTCCAGTGTGCGAAGGTGGTCATCCAAAATAGGACTGTGCAACATATGACAAAGCAATGCCCTATCCAGAAATGAGACATCACTTTCGTTATGTTTATTGAAATGTCTTTGTTGGATGAGTTGGCAGCCGGGACGGCTGGGTGCTACGAGTCGGTGGGGTGATGTAGTGGCATTGTTGGGCGCGATGCGCGATCACCACAACTCTTAGCCGGTAGTAGTACAGGCCCTGTGTCAACAGGGGGCGGAAGAGAGGCTGAGCCGGATAGATTAGATGAAGTCAGGCCATTGGTCCGAGGTAACGCCCAGGGAGCATTGTGACCGGAGGTGCAGACCCCAGACCCCCAAGATGGGGCTTGCGGATGACGCCACACTCCAGGTCCCTCTGGAAGGTTCCAGAAGGAAGGCATGGCTAGGGGCAGAGTGAGCTGGGACCGTGTATAAAAGCCGGACCCCTGAACGGGTCCAGCAGTTGTCGTCCACTCGAAGACTCGAAGAAGCCACCCTGAAGACCTGGAGCCGGGACTGGACCCGAGGACCTTGGCTGGGTCTGGACCGAGCAGCCCCGTGGGTAGGACCTGAGGTCCTTTGCTGGATCGGGTCAGAATATTCTCCCTAGGTCCCGCTAGCGAGAGGACCCATAGTGAGCTACTCCCCCAGTGTGTAGGGCACGACAGTCTGGAGGACATACCTCCTTAGGGTATCGGGTGGAAGGTGCCGTAACCCCTTCGTGTTAGGGCTATTACTGTTATTGTATAATAAACGTGTTGCCTCCAGAGAAGTATCTCTCTCTCCATTCATACCCACTACACTAGCAATGAATTGACATGTTCTATTTACGTGACAAACCTGATTAATTGACTATGTCGGGTGGTGGTGGGTTTACCGACACATTTATTTATTTGTAGTGTCTTAGGTCTCTTCTTCTTCTCCCTTCTCGAGGTGTGTGTGTGCGGGTGCCGTGCGGTGCACACACTCAGTCAGAGACGAGGTCATCGCAGGACGCACTATCTCTCTTTTATTAAGTTCACACCATCATCTCCGGCCTCCTCTCTCACGACCACGCTGCCGTACGGCCTGGCCCAGCCCACATTGCAGCAATGGCATCGACCGAGACGGCCAACTACTGCCCGGCCGCCCAATGATTGCGCGAAGGCGGCAGCGACGAAGGCGGCAACGACGACACCGACAACGTGACACGTCCACTCCCAGAACCAGCAGCCTGGAGTTCTCTCTCTCTCTCCTCCTTATATTCGCCTAGGCACGGCTTGGTTCCACCCTAGCCACGCCTCCCTTCTCGAACTCACCAAAGGTTTCAAGGGTCTCCATATAAGGTCTACTGTGACCCTTGCCCCAGTTCCTCCGCCCTGCCGGCACACCCGTGTATATGCTCAACGGCGCGTGCGCGAAGTGTCCACCGCAATCTGTAAAGCAGTCCGTGCTCTGTCAATACATATGTGTAGTGGGTTCCATGGAGACACACACTTTAATCTGGAGGCACCACGTTTATGATACGGCCCCAAAAGGGCTATTAATATAACATTACAAAGGGTTAACTAGACCCCAACCAGGTCACTACGTAACTGGGTCTGGATGGTTACTTCTTCCTGACCCATGGAGCCTGAAAGTACAATCTAAGACCAACGACCGAAGACCAAAGAGACATAGCACAGTGAGTTCACTCCTAGAGACAGCCGTGATCGCTCCTCCCCATCCCTCTTATCCTGTTGAGCATGGCCTCGCTCCGCCTCCAGCCAAGCCCCCTTCTCGATCTACCCCGAAGGAACTGGGGCCAGCGTCATGTGTCCCTCAAGCCCCCTTTTCGGGCCCCCTTACTACCCTGTGCCATTCACGTGCCCTTTCTCTCCCTTCAACGGGACCATGCCCTCTAGGGCCCGCTTCCCTGCCATACCTCCGCCGGTGGCAGAGAGAAGTACAAGACATATGCAGTTACCTGTTCGTGAATCTAGATGGCGTAGACGCCATAGAGACTTTAATTACACCTCTACATATGTATGCAATCTAACCCAAAAAAACCTGTATTATATACGAAAGCGTTGGCCACTCGTCTCGAAGCTGTTCTTCCAGAAATAATTCACCCCTCCCAGACTAGCTTCATAAAAGGGAGGGACATTACCCACAGTACCAGAACAATAATTAATATATAAAATTGCATGGTTACAAAACAACAAGCCTACGCAATTACGTTGGATCGAGAAAAGGCATTTGACAGAGTCAAGTGGGATATCCTCTTCCAAACAATTCAACATATGAACTTCCTGGAAAAAACCCCTAGCATTCTGCAGACTACCATACCCTCTCCTTATGTCCTCTATCAGAAAGAATGGGTGGATCTCAAGGGGATTCCTTCTAAGTAGAGGCACAAGAATAGAGATACCCTCTATCTCCACTCATTTTTTGCAATAGCCATAAAACCACTGGCAATAGCCCTTAGGACATCAAATAAAATAAAGGGCATACAAGGCCCTGGAGAGAAAGTATGGAAAATACTTTTTTTATGCTGACAACATTCTTCTAACAATAACCAACCCCTCTGAATCTATTCCAAACATGCTTGATACTATTGTAATGAGCGACTTCTGCGACACGTCGTGGAGAGCAGCGGTCCCCAACCTTTTTGGCACAAGAGGCTCGTTTCATGGAAGACAATTTTTTCACGGCCCGGAAGAGGGGGGAGGGGAGGGTTCGTCATTGGGTTTTTCCCTCTTTTCAAAGAAGCTCTCCAGCGACGTTTGTTTTTTACTCATTTGGGCTAGGGTTAGCTTGTGGGCTTACCCAAACTGTGACTGAGACAAGTGCGCAGTGCGGGAAAGAGGCGCGGAGAGAAGTAATAAAATAATGGGCGGGCCATGCGCGGACTCACCGTTCACCTCCTGCTGTGCAGCCTGGTTCCTAACAGGCCATGGACCAGTACCGGTCTGTGGCCCGGGGGTTGGGGACCCCTGGTG